TCTACAAGCTTTGCAAGTGGGAAAACCTGAAAAATCAACAGTGTATCAAATACTTGTTCTCCCCACTGTACATACATTATGCCAGTTGTTACTGAATATTTTCAGAATTTATTGAAGGTCACAAATCAAGGTYATATAAGAGTTACTTTTCTGTGCAATTGCTTTGGATTGCTGTATAATAGTTTGGTACTGTTGTTGCAAAATGTGTTAATATTCATGGAATTTATTATGTTTTGAGTTAATAAATAAAACAAATAATGCACCAAAGCGTGTTTTTTTGTGGTGGCTCAGCCTGAGGTTGGTAACCAGAAATCCAGATATCTGGACCAGAGTGGTTTTCTGAAACTCTGTTCTGTTTTCAGGTGATTTCCGTGTCAAATGAATCTGCAGCGTGATCGATGAAATCCAGTTCTGGTTAATTAATTTAATTTTAAATGTGACTTTAATGTTTCTCTCTTTAACAGACTCCAGGATGAACAGTTTTTCCTACAGCTCCCAGTTAGTCCAGTTCCAGGACTTTCTCCTCAGGGCTAACAAATACAGATGTCTGAAGATGGCAGGTGATGAAGCAGCCACAGACAGAAAGCTCATACTGGTGGAGGTATGTAAAGCATTCATAAACTATGGATTCAGTGTTTTCCTGATATCTTAAAACTCTTCACATCAACATACCAGCATCACGGTCCTCCTCTCTTTCCAAACCAGAACATTTAGCAGTTTTTATCCATATATTTGATTAAAAGCTCACGTTAAAAATGAACTGGGAAACTGGACAGATTTGGTCTTTTGATTAGAGCCATGGCTCCTCCAAATCAAAAGAAGTCAGCTGAGGTGGTCCTAGATGCTGAAGTGAGGATGCTTCCTGGTCGCTTTTCCTCTGAGACTCTTCAGCCACATCATGGGTGGATCCAGGACTTACTGAAGTTATTTTCTGTATCCTCTGTGGCCTGGAAAAGTGCTCAAAATGAATCATAGGATCCAGACAGACAAAAAAATAAAATAACATTCAGGACAAAAAAAACTTTCCAGAATGGGAGGTTTGTTAGTTTGTGACATGTGGCTCTGGTTAAATTCAGATATTTTTCTGCTGAAATATTAGCAGCAAAAACTTGCCTGTTATTTTATAGGGTTAAAGGCTTGTAGTGTCTGTGTCTGACTTCTTTTTGAGTCAGTGAAAATCTAATGAGAAATGGACTGTACTTTTATAGTGCCCTTCTATCCAACCAGGATAGTCAAAGTGCTTTAGACTAGTGGTTCCCAAACTTTTTATCTTCTGACCCACAAAATATCCATGGCAAAAACTTGTGACCCCAAATATAACTGGTCTGAGTACACGAACTTCGTTAATAACCCTAAAAATACAGGCTTTTTGACAATCTAAACAGCTTGTACACAAATATAAATACACTTATTTTGTGCTTTTGTAATAAATGTAGGGAAAATATTACATCAGCAATTATTTTATTACCCTTTAAACTGATTTCTGGAGATTATCCAAGGTGCTTCATGACCCATAATTGGGTCCCAAGCCCAACTTTGGGAACCAAAGTGCAGTGGTTCTCAAACTTTTCAGCTTTTGACCCACAAAATAACAGTAGCAGAGACCTGTGCCCCCAACTATTTTTGGATGATAAACATTTGTATCAGGTCAACACAGTGGCGGATCTAGGATTTTTCTGAGTAAGGGGCCATCAAGGTGCCACTATATTTATAGAAGGGCCAAGTATTTGTTCAACCTTCTTTCACGCAAGTCCAGAGTTTTGGTAAAGTGTTCATGTTTAACCAGTCACATGTTCAAACACCTGTATTGTAATATAATTTTTTAAAAAAGCTTGCAAAATTAATTCTCTTTACCAGTTTCACATACATTTTTACTAGATAAAACACTTTCAAACACAGAACATTTGAGAAAATCTAGTCATCATTTGAAAGACTTTCTGCAGTATTGTTCTGATTTTCTTAAGAAGAGGACTTCTGTCAGCTTGATTCATGCTGGACTTTCCTATTTGACTCATTAACACCTCTAGTGTTTGAACATGGAACTGCATCTGCCGTCATTGCTCTTGTGCAAAGGACAGATGAGTGACAGGACAGGGGCACTTCAGGGGGCCAATCAGATTTCAGCTGGGGCCAATGCCCCTGTGGCCCCGCCCCTAGAACCATCCCTGGGTCAACAAAACATGGGCATAGTAGCAATATTTTTTATACTACATTTATCCATTTTAAATACACTAACCTCACTCCTTTGTAACAACTAAGGCAAAAATGTAATTAATTCAGAAAATCTTTTCAGGACCCCACCTTGATGTTTCGGGACCCCAACTTTGGGAAACACTGTTTTAGACTACAGTCTGTGTCCTTATTTACCCACTCACACAGCACTGTACCAAAACCTCTACGAAGCTAATACAGGTAAATCAGTCTATTGAGATGAATCAGTGCTTCACACTCCTACTCTGATGGGACACATCAGAGTCCTGCCCAGGTACACTTTGACATGCGACTGAATAGCAGGGAATAGGAATGTGCGATATGGCAAAAAATTCATATCACGATATACATTATGATGGGTGGCAGTAACGATATATATCACGAAACTTCTAATAAATAAATCACACATTAATTGAGTGGAATAAATATGTATAGGTCAAAAAATTTAGACCTTAAAATTTCCTTTTTAAGGGATGCTTTAAAGTCTCCCATAAAAATCTAAATTTAAGGGAGATCTACCTGGTTAAATCAAATATATATATATATATATATCTCACACACACACACAATATAACTTTAATGTAATAGATATCTGCATCCATTGGATGTTGTGTTTGGAATCACCTGCTTCGTTTTAAGGTGGTAAAACAAATTGCTTGTATTTATTCCTTTCTACACACTTTGCAGATTATTTTTTTCTGCCCTCCACCTGTTTAATCTGTGCGTGCTCCGGCGGGGTGACAATCATCCCGTTTATGGTCTACTTTAATTATTTATTATTTTTGGAAGGACAGTCTGACTGTCACCCTTTCCCACAGCGCTTCCCTGCTGTACAAGGAGACAGTATTGCTCTGTGGCCGCAGGAGAAACGAGGTCCAGACTTAGCGAGTTTTTGTGCGTCTGGAGTGCTGAACTTCACCTGCACTGACTGTCGCCTCGCTGCGTCACCATGTGCCGCTGCGCGCGCTCCTCCCGACCGGAGGACGCGCTGTCACGTAAATATGTAAACAGTTCGGCGTTCATTTTCGCACACCCGAACCAGGTCTGGATAAGTTATGTTTTTTTCCTCTTCATTTGCGCTCTCAGCCTCGCTGCTTCCCGCTTCCTCTGTTTTGACTCCAGCTGGTTACATCATCAAAAAGAATTGCGCGGTTGGCCGGTAGACTACAGATCTCTATCATAGGACAAATTACATCGTTTCTACCGTATATCGTTTATATCGCGCATTCCTAGCAGGGAATCAAACTGCCAACTCTTTAGCCTGATTCACAAGACAAATCCGCAAAATCACCACACAGACCGGTCCGGTTTTATTCCCCCACGGGTCATCCATAAAATCAAGCTGGCCAGGTCCCACTCACATGTACGTGTTCAGAAATGAACCAGCAGTGCAGAACCAGAAGAGGTGTGGAGCAGAACTCAGCTGGTCTGAAGTGGACCACCTGTGTGACAGACGTCTGCTGCCTCGTATCAAACAAAACTAACTTCACTTACTTTAGTGATCCTGTGATGGTTCAATATGTTTTAAACTAACTACACAGTTGCTGTTCTGTGTTATTTTTAATATTCCCACGATAGTAAATCTGTAGATTAATCCTCCAYCCGCTCACTGACGTCAGTCTTCCTCATAAAAAGCAAAACACGAAACCAGCTCATTATAGTGAACCTGTGTCTCAGTATTTGTTAAACTACTGGTTAGTACAAAGTTGCTGTTTCTCCTCATCTTTAATATTCCCTCTATAATAAATCTGTTTGTTGGTTAGATCCTAGAGGTCACTCACTGATGTCATCAGCTCATCATTTTCTCAGTGTGGAACAGCAGGTTGCCTTTTCACATGTCAGCCTGCCGGGCTTGGTCCCGGCTCTGATCCTACCTCTGCTCGCGGCTCATTTTACTCACCTTTCCACTTCGGTGTTTCTTCTGAATGCTCAGAGGAGGACAGAACACACATCAGTCCCAGACTGAGCTGTCTGATGAATGAGGCTTCTGATTAGAGGACGACTCCCTTAACCACTCAGCCACAGCTGCCCCGTAATCACTGATCTGTCTCTCTTTCCTTGTACTAAATGCTAAATCAAATTTGTTATGTTTTTTTAATGATTCTTGTATTGATCAGATGTTCTTGTTCAGAGTGAACACATGGGTTCCTTTCTACATAGACAACATTCATGCACTGTTTGTTTTCCTCATCAGTTTGTTGTATTATCGACTCCTACATTGTATTTTGACAACTACAGTTTGACCTTTTCCATTTTAAACTGTTTGCCAGAACTTCACAACATACATAAATAACCCCTCATACTGACCCTTTCTGATTCTGTAAACAAACATGAATTAGCTCAGTGGATATAAAGTGATTAGCATACCTTCTTCACAGGATTTTCCAAACCAGTTCTACAGGCAGCCCAGCAGCCTGCATGATGTTCTGAGGTAAGTGTAACAATCCAATCCAATTTCAATTCAGTGTATTTTTATAATACCAAGTCACAACAACCAAGTCATCTCAAGGCACTGTACAAAAACAGTCACATACTGTATTATACATGCACGTCAAGTTGTGCAGATTGTCCATAAATTACTAACC